GAGCATGCTGGGTGAGGTTGGAGAGACAATTGGCAGGTCGTGTAGGGCAGTGTGGAATTTATTTTGACTTAGATGAGAAACTAGGAGAGGGTGTTAGCCGGGGAGAGATATCATCTGGTTTGCATTTTTAAGAGATTCTGTGGGTCAGCTGTGCATGGGGTGCAAGATAGGAAGCAGGGAGACCAGGCAGGCGGCCATTGCAGTGGTCTATGAGAGAGTTATTGGTGGCGTGGACTAGGCGGTGACAATGGAGGTGAGAAAAATGGTCAGATTCTAGAGGTGTTTTGACTAATTTCTGTTTATGTATTTTTTCCCCAACGAACCCAGGAGCTTCTTGACCTTCTTCATGTCTGATTGATCTTTGGATTCCCCACCTCCACCCTAAACAGTTAGTTTCTCTGACATCTGTCACAGTGAACGTGACAGGAGGTAATGGCAGTTGGATAGAAACTTGGACATGAGGCAGAAGTTCTGAGACTTCCTTCTAGTTGCTCTAATGGGCTTCTCCCTCTCCCTTTTTCCTTCTTTGCCCCTTAGTGTCACCTAAAAGAATCTAAGTATGTTTGGGAGGGAAGAAAACTCAGGAGTTATGGAGTTGCTCCTCTGTGCTAGTAACTGGGCTCCATGTCTTCACATAGATTACTTCATTTGGGTTAACTTATTTCATATGTAAAAAAACATCTAATCCTATCCATTCATTTTAGAGACAAGCTGATTAAGAACCCCAAAAGGAAAGGGACTTTATGAAGTTGGGTAGAAAGGCCAAGTTGTCATAGCATAAAGCAGTCACTATTTTGAGTCACTCATAGACTGCTCTTCCCATTTAACACCCAAATACTGTTTGTCTACACCCATTTTGCTAAGGTCTTTTTCAGTCTCTTGTTAATTGTTAGCATTACATAATCCCAATAAATCTCTTGGTGAAATTGCAAGTCTTGAAAAGGATTCAAGGTTTCATGAAGTCAATGAAAGTGATGATGGAGACCATCTCTAATGTCATGTAAAGTCTTTGATAAATGGGGATTTGGCAGAGATAGGCCAGTTATCCCTGGCAGAAGAGAAAATTGACCTGGGTAATGACAGGATCAAGGCTTCAAAGAGAATGATTCAACTCTCAAAGGATTACAAGAGGTCCTTGGGATAATTGAAGAAGCTCTCTAATTTTGGAAAAAACAAAACAAAAACTCTGCTTATGACTGTGCTGCAAAAGTCAATATTGTCCTCTCAGGTACTTTGGTCAGGAAAATTACATTATCCCTCAGTGCTTGACTCATACATTGTCTGTTGTAAGAATTAGTGCATATTTGCAATTATTTATACAATTATACATTTTGTACATTTTAAATGGAAACTAAAATAGTTTCCACGTTTCCAATTTATTTCTCAAGATGAAGTCCTAGCCAAATCCTTTTCCCTTTTTCTTCTGCTCTACTGTGAAATGTTGGTCCCCATTTCAAGTGGATTCATTGTAAGTGGCCTTTTTCTAGCACCACTTATCCTCAAATAACAAGGACTTAATGTGGCCACAGCCTTCTCTTCACTCAGTGATTGTAACGCCTGGCTGCACATTAGAATCACTTGTGGAGTTTTCTAAACAGTACTGAAGCTGAGACTCCCATCCTAAACTAATTAAATCAGACTTTCTGCTGGTAAGACCAGAACTAAAACTCTCCAGGTGATTCTGATATGCTGCCAGGGCTGTGAGCCACTGCCATGTTTCCTCCTCGCCCATGCTGAGGCTGGAAGAGACAGGCTGTCTGCAGTTGGACTGGCCTGAAGAAAGAGTGCCAGGGCCTGGGCCTGGGCCTGGCTGAGGGAGGGAGAGCTCAGAGAGGCAGCTGTAGAGTGATGGTGGCTTAGTCCAGGAGTGCAATGGTGACATATGGCTGGTAGAGCTACTTCCTTGTCACAGTCATGGTGCCCTTTACTCCCTTAGCACTGTGGGTGTATTGACCCCTCTGCTTTTGTATATAGTAGGTTAGTTTGGAACCTGCAATCCCTCATGTCTCTTTCCTATGAACAAGGCCAAGAGAACCTGGCTCCCTCCTCTTGGGCATTCAGTGAGGCAAAAACGCTAACGTTAAAAACAAACAAACAAACAAATACTAATGTTGTAGTGGGTGTATTATGGTTGTCCAATGCATAAAGTCATATGATTGTGTGGATTTATAATATCTATTTCCTGCTGTTTTGCCAGCACCCAGCGCACTGTTTGATATATAGTCATTGCTCAGTAGGTATATTTTGAATGAATGACTAAGTTGAACACAGGCGGGATATAATCAGTACCATGATTAAGGGACAAAGTGTTATTGAAGTACAGAGGAGGAAGAGATTTTTTCTAGCTCAAGGAGGAGGGGGGGATGTGGAAGTCTTCATAGCAGAGGTGGCATTTGAGCTGAACTTTGAAAACTAGAAAAGTCAGTGATAGGCAGTGCGGAATAGACAATGTGAGCAAGGGTGGGAGATGAGGCTGTGCAGAGCTCATTCAGATACCAACCAGTAGGGCAGTGGGGCATGGATGTGAGTATATGAGCACCTATTGGGGAAGATCAGACTGGTGGATATGATCAAGAAACAAAGATCCTTGAATGGCATGATCAGTTTACCCTTGATTCTATGGACAACGTGGAGCCATCCAATATCTTTTATGTTTTCCAGGGGTGTAATGTTTGCTTTAGGGAGATTAGCTGTGTCCTCTAGGAAACTCAACCATGGCAGCAATGGTTTCACACAAAACCTCTTTGAAGTGTCTCTGAAGCGTGTGGGACTGTGTTAGGTGGAGGATGGATCAGAGCTGGAGTGACTGGACAAGAGATTGGTTAGTAGGCTATTGCAGTAGTCCAGGCAAAAGCTACTGAAGGCCTGAAACAGCTTAGCGGGAGTCAGGGTGGAAAGTAGGGGAAGGATTTGACACATCTTACAAAAGCAGAATGATGGAACTTGGTGACTGTTTTAGGTGGGGGGTGAAGGAAAGAGATGAAAGACTGAGTGACTAATGATAATAACAACAATCAGCATATGAGTGGCTCCTCTGTGCCAGCTGTTTTGCCAAGTGCTTCATGTGCTGCACCATCTAATTCTCACAATAACCCTTGTGATAGATGAGGACACCAAGGTTCAAGGAAGTAAAGGAACTCTTGTCCAAACTCATACAAGTAGGACATGGTGATGGCAGCACTGGCCTATCTACAGTGGCTGCTGCCAAAACGTGAGCTGCAGCATGAAGGTGTGGCCCAGGCCTTCTGCTCCACAGAGCAGGCAGGAGCCCTAACCCCCCAGGCCTGGGCCTCCCACTCCACAAAGCAGGCAGAAGACCTGCCCTCCAAAGCACAGCTGCAGCTGCCCAAACCATGGCTGCAGACCCAAACCTCCTGCTCCATAAAGCAGGCAGGTGCCCTGCTCCCCCTGGTGTAGCTGCAGCTGCCCAAATCATTGTTGCAGCCTTGAGCATCCCTGGACTTCTAGGGGCCCAGGAAGGCCCCCCTCTCCTCGTGGGCTCAGAAGTACCTGCTCCCACTGCCTGGCTTCTCCTTGCTTCTAACACCCACTCTGATCTTGGAGCAAATTTGGGCCAAGCCTGGGCACCATAAATGGCAGCAGGAGGCAGATAGGTTCCTCAGTGAAAGGGGGCAGGTCCCTGATGAGGCGCCACCTTCAGGCCAGGGAGGGTCTGAAGGCTGGGGGTCAGGCTGCCAGTCCCACAGACTGGAGTGGGAACTTGTGATGCCTTTTCTGGGCCTGCCCATGGCTGCCCATGGGCCAATTGGTGCACATTTCCTCCCCTCTGAGGCCCATAAAAGCCTTGGGCTCAGCCAGAGCTGAGCGGATGACAGGATGGGCAGCTGCAGAGAGGAGGTATCCTCTCTGCTGAGAGCTTCAGAGATCTGCAGAGATGTTGGGACTACCAGCTGCAGAGAGGAGCTACCCTCTCCAGAGCCTCCTCTCTGCTGAGAGCTGCAAAGCTAACAGGATGACCTGCCTGCAGAGACGAGCTAACCACTCTAGGTTCCCTCTGAGCTGTTCTAACACTCAGTAAAGCTCCTCTTTGCCTTGCTCACCCTCCACTTGTCTGTGTACCTCATTCTGCCTGGATGTAGGACAAGAACTTGGGCAAAAGTGTCTCTGACCACAGAGGTTTCCAGCCAGAAAAGTGATGCTCCAAAGATCCCATAACAATGGCACTGGCTAGACTCGGAACTCATACAGTCTGGCTCCAGAAACCATGCCATGACATCCATGCTACACTGCTTTTGGGGAAGCAGAGTGGGCTAGTGGTTTCTCGGCAAAGTAATTTGACAGCTCAGTCAGGATATCAGCTTCTTTCTTGATCATGCCCTCCTTTCCCCATTCATGTGAAAGCAGTGGTAGTGATGGAGAGCCCTCTCTGCCACCCCTCCTGCAGTTGTCCGCAAGTGGCCTTCCTCCTGTGGTGGGAAGATGGGTCTGGTGAAGGGGTGTAGGAGAGTTGAGACTGGCAGGCTAGAACCAAAGGCTGCAACAAAAGCAATAACTGGCAATCCCCAGGTCACGTGGAGCCTGCAGACTTATTTAACCCTCATGGAGGTAGGTTGGTTGGTTTTAGACTTGAGCCAACATTTAGGAATTAGGGAGCTTCATGTTGGAATCCCAAGTCGTAACTTCCCTTGAAGAATGAGAAGATTTGGCAACACTAGAACTACATTCCCCAAGACAACTCTGGGCTTCAGCTGCTTCCTTTGCACATGTCCTGCAATTCTGAGCACTCACATTGGAGTCTGCATTTTTCCCCAGCCTGGCCTACTTCACTCTGTACAGTGATCTGCCTGATCCCTGCAGGTGGCTGGCTTTGTGAGTCCTTGTCTAGAATGGTCTACTACAGTTTACCCTTTCTTCCTGAGATTTGAGCCAACAGGGAGCCAGGCACAGGGTCAGCATCTCTGGTCCCATCCCCTCCCCAAGCCAAAGACTTTTCCAATGCAGCAAGCTTGACTCCACAGAACAAAGAAATGAACGGAGGGTTATCATCAAGTCTTACCATTTATTTCTTTATGGGGTTAAACAAGAGCAGAGAGGCCTCTGCCCCACAATGCAACAAAACAGAAAGCAGTACACATACAGAGACTCTCACCAAAACACAGAGGCGGAGTAAGAGGGAGGGCAGAGACAACTGAATCATAGCCAGGTAATGGAGGAAGGGATGGGGGACTACTAGGAAACCAGCTTGGACACTCAGTCATAGGAACTAGTGCAAGAAAGTCCTACTCATGAAGCACAGTGTAGAAAATGGCATAAGAAAGCTGCCCGGCTCTGCTGCCTGTGATGGAGGGCAGGGACAGCCAGAGAGGTGGTGGAAGATTAGGGTGGTGGGGTGAAGGGAGGCAGTCAAATGACTCTGAGGTGGAGTGAGGTGCCCCTTTCCTCTGCCACTGGGCAAGGCCTTGGGCTGGTCTGAGCCAGGGGTCTCCTGGGCACTTGGTGAGGGGGAAGAGAGGATGGGAGTCTCCAAGGGTCCATTCCCTGGGGCCGTATGGTTCCCCTTTACTTCGCAGTCCTTTTTCCCCTCCTGAGGATGCAGGAGTTAGAAGGCAGTACCTGGGGTCTCTCTGGAGCCCAAGCACCTGCCCTTTACTTATACATAAGCATGTCTGGAAAGAGCACTCTAGGGATGGGGTATGTGGCCAGGCCCAAAGTGCTGAGGGCCAAACAGGGGAGTGTGTAGGCAGGGCACAGGAGTTGGGGACAGGCTGTGAGAAATGAGAAAACTGGCAGGGAAGGACTCCCCAGTCTCATGTAACTTATCTGGGACCCAGTTGAGGCCCATGAATGATTCTCTCTCCACTAGGGAGCCCTCCCATTCATCCCTAAGCTGACCAAGGACAGGTCATCTGCTTCTTGGTTTCAGTCTCACGCAGCTCCAGACCCACCCTCCCATTCACTCACTAGTATTGCATCCCAGAAGGACACAGGCCTTGTTGGCACTAAAGCTCCCTAGCCTCTCCCAGGAATACAGCTCTGGCTCCCTTTCCTGTCAGTTCTTAACCAGCATTCAGATGTCCCAGGCAATGTGGGATCTCCCTTATTCCCCACCCCCACCCAGCAGACCAGAGCAAGGCTAATGGCCCCTAAGGGGCTCTCAGTGCCTCTTCTCTTGTCCAGCCCTCTAGCCTGACTCAACAGTTTCTCAGCCAAGGGATGACAGCACATGATCTTTAGTCAAAGGGTCTTCTTGCCAGTCCCTAGACTTTCTCTAGCAAGGGACTGGGGTGACTGCAGCAGAAGATCCTCCTGCAGGGTGTAGAGGAGTCTGGTTGTTCCACAGTTGGGACAGTAACCCATGGGGTCAGGGATGGAAAGGCATGAATACTCTTTGGTAGGCTGGGGACGGGGACAGGGGAGAGGGGAGGCTCATCTCTGGAGAGCTCTGGGGCAATGCCACCAGGTTCTCCTTCATGGAGGCCTGGGCTAGGACAAGACAGGGGAGTATGAGGACCCTGGCCAGGCCTGATCCACTTGAGCTCAAGTTCCTCCTCCCCATGGAGATAGGAAATGTTATTGTCTTTGGCCCTAAGGCCAAGATCTCCAGGGCAAGGGAGGCCCTTGGGAGTATGTGCACCTTCTGTAAGATATGGTCCTTCAGACAGCAGCAGTCTAACCATGTGCCTGCAGCCTTTTGCTTTAAGGCCCAGCAACTCAGTTCCTGTGCTCTTTTCCCAGAGAGCTCCTAATGCAACTCTCTCTGTCTTGGGGAGCAGTTTTCAAGCCTGCCTCAACACTTATCATCCATCTCCCCAAAACTGGGTGGCAGTAGCCTATTCGACCATCTCTTCAAGCCCTCTGCCCACATTTCTCTTCTCCTATCCCCATTCCCTATCATCACCCTCTTTCACCACTTATTCTGTACCCCTTTTCTGCCCCTCATTGCCTAGGGTGGTGGGGCACAGCTTTACTGGGGCCCCGATCTAGCTGCAACTGTGCGTACCTCATCTCCCAGTCTGGTGCTTCACCTGCGATAGTCCCAGGTGGGGCACGGTGTGTTGAAGTGGCAGGAGGGCCATTGCACTGTCTGCTGTTGCCCGTTGGGATATGGGCAGGAGGGAATTAAGGATCTTGGCAACAAAAGGAATGTGGAGGGGGGGAAGAGTGTCTCCCCTCTGTGCCCCCCAACATTCCCTGCAGGGCCCAGGCTGGGTGAGCAGCCTCCTTCCCTGGGGTCAGGACTCTTGGCAGGGGTGGGCATATCCAGCCCCCACTTCCTCCCTTTTTTTGCTAAGCCCCATAGATGGGGGCTTGGGAGGGGTCACCTGCTGCTCCTGCCTTTTTTGCCCGGATGAGTTTTGTAGCTCCTTGGGGCCCTCTGGCCATTCTGTTGGAGCTGCTTTTGGGGTGGGGGTAGGTTGAGGGGATGTGTGGTTCCCCCATTTCCCCCCGCCCCCACCTTATCCTATACCTCCCATGGGAGGAGCCCCCTCCCCCCCACGTGGGGGAGCTGGAGCTGATATCAGTGTGTGGTGGAGGTCTGTCCTCCCTACTGTCACTCTTCCCATGTCAGGCCCTCTTCTAGGGCAGGCAGTGTCTCCAGCCCCAATACCCCACCACCCTGGTTGCTGGAGAAGGACACCACGGTATGGAGGAGCATGAGAACAAGGATGCAGAGCCGAATCCTGCTAGGGCTGAGGCGGGAGCCCCCAGAGACCGGCAGCAGGGCGGGCTTGTTGCTGACATGGCCTGGGGGATCATGACGGGGGTGGTAGTGGTGGTACTGTTGGTGGTAGTGGTGGAAATAGGAGTGGTGGAATTGCTGGTGGTGGGTTTTGGGGGCCTCAGACTCCTTGATCTTCTTCTTCTTTGCCTCACAGGAGACCCACTGCACGTCACAGCACTTGGTTTCCGGCCGCTTTGGTGAAGTATCCAGCAACCCTGCCAATGGATAAGGAAGGTGTGGTGGGATGCTTGGGGAGCTGATGGCTGCGCCTTATCTAGGGATCAGGTTTCCAGAGCTAGGGCTGCTTAGGTAGCCTCATCCAAGGCTCCTTCCTGCCTAGCCCTCAACACTTTCCCTTCCTGAGCCCTACTTTCCTGGGGACCCCAGTCAGTTTCCTCGGGATGACTCCTTGGACGTGATCTGGCCAGAGAAAGGCACTCTGCTCTTTTTCCCTATTCCACTTGACCCTGTCCCAACCTGGGGACCTCACTGCCCATTTGTGTAGCCACTGGCCTTCGTCTCATCTGACTCCCCTGTTGTTCTCCCTGCTTCCACTCCTCTGACCTGATGCCTGCCCTGGGTCCCCGGCCTCCTCCCTCTTCCCCAGTGCCCTGCCTTTACCTGTACAGATAAAGCCAGGGAGCCCTCCGTACACCATTTCCTCATTGTCGGGGAGTAAAAAGGGGCACCGGGTCTGCACCTCCAGGCAGTACTGCTTGCAGGGCACCCAGCGCTGGCATTCCTGCTGGGTCACGCTGAAGTATTCTGAGCACAGCCAGGCCTTGTAGACAGCCTGTGGGGAGAGGAAAGAGCATCAGCCCACGTACCAGCCCCTTCCCACCTTAGAGGAGTGGGATGAGGGGCTATACTTGTGGTCTCTCAAGGGGGCCTCACCAACCTAACCCCAGGATCCAGGGGGTAAAGAGGAAGAAGGACTTGGGTCAAGGACTTGGCCAAGAAGGACTTGGCCACTACATCTTACCTAAGATCTCCCATCTCATAGCGAGGACTCTCAACACCCCCCAGTCTAGAGTCATCCAAGCCTCAGAATTTGAGTGTTGGCAAAAATCACAAAATTACTCCTAGGTCAGAACTGCAAGGAGACTTAGCAATCATCCCATGCAACCCTGGTTCAAGGAAGTCTCTTGACTTGTCTGAGACCACCTATATATAATAAGGCAAATTTCAGTACTGTTCAATTCAGCAAACATTTCCTTGGCTGACAGTATTGAGTTTCTAAATTCAAGAAAGAGAAAGAATAGTCCTTGCTCTACCTAATTAGGGTGTTGTATGGATGAAATTACATGGCACATATGAAAATGTTTTGTAAACTCTAAAGTGTAATGCAAATGTGAGGGGTTATTTTTAATAAAAAACAGGAACCTGCCTTACCAGGCACCACACGTGCCTTTGACCTCTACTTGATCCATGCTCTGCCCTATTGGCTTCTGCTCTGGCATGGAGCAGACATCACACACACTGCTACATTTCATTTGGAACCTCTGCTTTGCAGTTTCACTTCATGGGTATACTTCCTGTCCCTCATCTAGCCCACCCCTACCAGGCACTGGGTGCTAGCTAAGAAAGGTTCCCTGCTCCATACTATTTGGTTATCATTAAGTCCAGGGTTTCTTAACAGTGATACTACTGACATTTTGGGTCAGATAATTCTTTGCTGTGGGGGTTGTCCTGTGCATTGCAGGATATTGTGCAGCATCTCTGGCCTCTACCCATTAGACACCAGTAGCATTCTCTCCCCTCACATATTGTGAAAACCAAAACGAAAACCAAAAACATGTCTCTAGCCATTGTCAAATATCCCCCTGGGGTAGGGGAATTCTCTCCAGTTGTGGACCACTGATCTAGGTCCTTGCTCATCAAAGTGTGGACTTGGACCAGCAGCATCACCATCACCTGGGAGCTTGTGAGAGATGCAGAATCTCAGGCTCCACTCCCTATCTGTCAAGTCAGCATTTTAACATATGCCGAGATGGCTCTCATGCACCTTGCCTATTCCTATCTCACTACCCACATCTAGCCCTGGTATCATTAGGGGAGTTTTCTAGGTTCATCATTATTCCTCACAGCAATGGTTTTTAGACTTCAGTGTGCCTCAGAACCCCCGGAAGCATTCGTTAAATATGCAGATGTCTCCCTCTGTTTCAGTTTCAAGAGGACAGAGGTGGGCTCGGAATCTGCATTTTTGAGCCAGGGGGTCACTGTGCTGCAGGAGGCTTTTCCACCATACTCTGAGTAACATAGTTTTAGAAGCACTGTCAGTTTCTTATAATTATTTTAAACATTTTCACTAAACTACAAATAACTCTGCTGTGAACATTGACTTTGGTAATGCAATCCCACACTGGCCTTTTCCAAAGCAGGGGCGTACTAGTGGGTGATGGGGTAGGTGGTAGTGCAAATCAATCCCCCAAGGAGCAAAGCATTGCTTGGGACTTTGGTATCTCACAGGCATCTCAAATTTAACAAGTTCTAAATTTTAAAATGTAGATCTTACTTTGTTAATCCCAAATCCACTGTCCTCCTCAAGTCTTGACCATTCAGTGAGTGCCATGAAACATAGATGCCAGCTTTCATGTCTCTTTCTCTGTATCCCCTCATCTAGTCTATCAGCAAGGCATGCCAATTGTAGCTCCACATCCATGCCTTTGGGCAGACCATCATCATCTCTCACCTGGATGACAGTCTCCCATCTGGCCTCCCCACCTGCACTCTTGCTCTTTCCAATCCACTGTCCACACAGGAGGAAGAGTGGTCTCAGAACACAATTGACTCATGTTACTCCTTTGCTCCAAACCCTTCAGTGGATTTAGACTGAAACTTCTGACCACAGATTTCTAGTCCTCGTATAACATTGCTCCGGTCTCTCTCTCCAACTTCATTTTCTTTCTTTTCCTTGAACATACCCTACTTCTTCCCATTTCAGGACCTTGGAACATGCTGTTCTTTTGTTCTGGAATGCTCTTCCCCCTACTCTTGACATGTCTGGGTCATTCTCATTTTTCAGGTCTCAGTTTAAGTGTCCCTCATCAGAGAGGGTCTCCCTTACCCCTTTCACCAAAGAATGCTGCCCTCATTATTCTCTTTTCCTTGATTGTTTCTTCACCACAAGTATTACTTTCTCTGCACTCTTGTTTCCTTTCTGTCAGCCCCACTAAAATGTGAGTTGCACGTAAGAAGACATGGGTTTGCTTTATTAACCATTGTGTACTCTACGCAATATACACGAAAAGAATCTGTTGGTTGAACGAACAGGACAAGCAAATGAGGACATGTTTCTAGGCTCATGACAATTCCAGTTTCACGGGTAGACACATCTAACTTGAATCTATGGCATATGATCTACACCACAGGAGAGTTCAAACCATGGACCACTGGAGGGAAGCAAGTAGAGAAGCAGGGAAAGATTTCAGTGTGGGGAGAACATTTGAGGTTGGACTCAAATCAGGATTTTAGATGGGGTGTATGGAGATGAGGTAAATGGGAATTCCAAGCTGAGGCAACAGCTTAAACAAAGGTATGTCCACAAACAAATTCATGGTATGTCAAGAGAACAGAGAATGGCTTTGTTTGAATGGAATGAAAAGGGCACCAATCTTTTGTTTACAGACATTTATTTCCACATTTTTACTATTATGAACAACACTCCAGTGACTATCTTTATACATACATCTCTTGCACACTTGTGTTTAATTTTATTTATATCAATTCCTGAATATGAAGTTATTGGACTAAAAGAACATGTGAAAAGGAATGGGCAAAGAGTGAAAGGGGGGTTAAAAAAAAGGGGGTGAGAACAGGAGGCAGGGTAAGAGAGCTGGAGGGTTTAAAAAAGGGCAGGAAGAGAGTGGCTTGAGGGGTATGAGAGAGTGGCAGCTGGGGTAAGGGGTGGAAGACAGGAGGTGCGTAGGAAAGAGAGGGTAAGGAATAGTAGGAATAGTGGGGGTAGGAAACAACGGTGTTGAGAAGAAACAGCCAGGAAATTAAAGGTGTAGGGTGTAAAAGAGGTGAAGGGGTAAGAGTGGGGTGAGGGTGAAAGAAGTTGAAAGGTAGGGACATAAGAAAGGGGGAGATGGGGGTAAGTGGGGGCTGTTAAGAGAAAGTGGTAAGAAAGAGAGTAAGAAAGACAGGGGTAATAACAAGCAAGGGGTGAACAAGATGGAATAAGAGTAGCTAAAAAAGATGGGAGCATAAGAAAGCAAAGGTAAGGAAGATGGATAAGAGAGCACAAGAAGGGGAGGAGAAAGAAACAGAAGTTAAGGCAGGAAAGAACATGAAATTACAAGAACTAAAGGGCCCAGTACCTTGGAGACTTCCTTCCATCTTTTCAGCCCCACAGTGCCAAGATGAGTCTCTGTCCACAGGCACTGCCCCAGTGTCTGCAGCCTGGACCCAGAGCCTGCCTCACCCTCATCCCAAAATGTGTGCAATTGGCCCCCTCCCAACACTGCATCCATTGGTGGGACTCAGAAGTCCATGTAGAATTCTTTCTGGGTTCTTCTAGTTTAATGTCCCTGGTCCTAGGTAAGGAGGCCCCAGTGGAGTTCCTACCCTCCTCCCAGGCAACTGCAATTAGCCCAGTAACAGGCTATGGTGGCTGGGCGGTCCCCTCATGTGCTCCTGGAGGGAGAAAGGCAGGGAGGCAGGCAGGATAGGTTGGGGAAGGGGGAGGGGTGACCTGACATTGGGAGTGTGGCCCTTCTGCTTAATTAGACGACCTCCCCACTCAGTCCCCACATCCCCAGCCAGAGTCACTATGACAACAAGTGGGTGAGCAGATTGCTTGGGGAGGACACCAGGCCTGTGGGTGGTGAGGCAGGAACAGGCAAGGAGCTAATAAGGGGAATGGAGGAAGAAGAGTGATGCAGGGCTCAGAGGTAATCCAATTCTTCAGGCCCACAGAAGGCCAGTGGAGGCCATTGTTATCCCTCATGCCTCAGAGGTGGCCTGGGGTCCTTCTCAGGTGAAAGATCTAGCTTTCTGTGTTTGTTACAGCTTGGGCAACAAGCCTGCCTTAGACTCTGCAGCCCTGTTTCTAAGATGGACCTAGGTAGCTTGTCCTGTCTCATCAGTGTTAGGACTGAGGGAGGGGTTGACAGGGGGAGGTTGTTTAGGCATTCACAGGGGCCTGGGCACTTGTCTACAAGGATGGAGGAAAGCCAGGAGGGCCCGGCTTAGGAGAACTGTGGGGCTTGCTGGAGGCAAGGCATGCAGGGAAAGGGTAGAAATGTCTTAGAACCAGGTAACAGTCAACTGGGAGAACCCTGGAGCTCTTTTGTTTTCCAGTATCTCAACTATGGCTGCATATCACAATCACTCAGAGAGCTTCCAAAAAATACTCCTGTCTGGGCCAGGTGCAGTGGCTCATGCGGGTAATCCCAGAGCTTTGGGAAGCTGAAGCTGGTGGATCACTTGAGTCCAGGAGTTCGACACTAGCCTGGGCAACATGATGAAACCCTGTCTCTACAAAAAACATTACTGGGCGTGGTGTTGCACACCTGGGATCCCACCTATTCAGGACGCTGAGGTGGAAAGGTCACCTTTGCTTGGGAGGCAGAGGTTGCATTGAGCTGAGATCATGCCATTGCACTCCAACCTGGGTGACAGAGTGAGACTTTGTCTCAAAAAAAGAAAAAAATACTCCTGTCTGGCTCACATTATGCCCAGACCAACTAAGTCAGGATCCTTATGGATGGAACTATACATCTGTAGTTTTTCAAAATACCTCAGGCAATTTTAGTATGCAGCCAGGGTTGAGAACCATCGATTTAGTCC